AACAACAACAACAACCACATCTACCAACAACAACAACAACAACAACAACAACCACAGCTACAACAACAACCACAGCTACAACAATAACTACAGCAGCAGCAGCAGTTACAGCTATCACCATCGCAGTCATCGCGGCCATCGAGAGGGCCTTTAAGGGAGAGTACGAGTGCAGTGAGCGAACCCCATCCCAGTACAACCACAAAAGGACATACGGAAAATACGGACACTCATGCACACTCACAAGCGCAAACACAGAACATGAAAGTACATTTGACCTATTCCAGACTGAGCTTCAGCAGGCCCGCCAACAGCTGGCATTCAGGACAGCAAATATGAATGGAGATGGAAATGCGAATACGAATGGTCGCACAAGCCCAAGACATACAGATTAGTAAGGAACCGAAAGTGAGCAAAGACACATAGGTAAACAAGGACACACAGTTCAATAAGAAAATTCAAATCAGACAGGACTTGCAGACGAGCAGCAGCACAGGAATGATGGGGGGGCACTTGGCGGCAGGAATGCAGCGGGTGGGCCGCTTTTCCACAGCCTGCAAGCTTACGGAGATGTGGGAAATAAGTAAAACAACCAAGCCATTGGGTGTATAATTGTATTGTAGAGTGGACGCATGTAAAACAACCAAGCCATTGGGTGTATAATTGTATAGTAGGGTGGACGTATGTAAAACAACCAAGCCATTGGGTGTATAATTATATAGTAGGATGAATGTATGTAAATCAACCAAGCCATTTGGTGTATAATTATATAGTAGGGTGAACGTATGTAAACAACCAAGCCATTGGGTGTATACTTATATAGTAGGGTGAACGTATGGTCTATGTGGCCCACTACTAAAAGTGGCCACTGCAATATCGATAACACTACTTTCACCCACAACGTGATTCAATTTGTATTTATAGTATATCGTCAGTACATGTCAAATGCCAGCAAGTAGTAGAATCAACAGCTTGGATATACTAAAGTCAAATTAGTTAATGCCGATATTTATATCATCTTGAATTTGTGATAGAATAATAAGCCTGTCAGCATAGTGTGAGAGGGTTTCGAGCACGTTGTAATATTTTGTCATGCCGGGTGGTCGCTGTAAGCAAAGAGGGGATTGCTTTACCCACCCCAAGATCACTTTTTGCAGGGACGTGATAGTCGCTGAGTTTAACTTGCGAATTATAATTGGGAATGTGTGTGGCCTCCGTTTAAAACAACTATCAGTACGCCATCGGTGCTTGTCGGTCGAGACTACTCAGAATCCTGCTTTGAAGTCGACGACTAATAATCCGTTATGTTTGCTTCATCTCGAAAACAATTAAACGGGAAACATTGAGGCTCAACACTTGCATTATCAGTATATTTGCCAGGCCATACACATTGATATTACTGCTACAGCTGAACTTAATGGTTGAACACTATCGAATTCTGCTCGCATGGCTGCCGCGTACTAAGACTTAGATACATATCTATAAACTGTTTTAATAATTTCACTATAATTGGATCATCTGTCGTGCGCTGAGAGTATTAGCTGAACATCTTGCGGCCTCGATTGAACATCCGCCAGACCGTACGAGGTCAATATATCATTGCACTCGGACCTGGGTTGAAAAACAAGGATGAATAGCCACGAATGAGCAGAGACGGTACATATAATACCGGGCAAACTAGCTCAGTTTCTGATAGTAAACGATTATAGCACTCAATCACGTACAGCTGTATACGATGGATGTGGACAGGTGAGGGGGTATTAGTTCGAAACACAGTACGAATCAATTGATCCGACTACACCAGATGCTATAACAAATCCAAGATGCCATTTGCTTACCTGTATTCGGGATCTACGAACACGCTGGACTTCGCATCGATATCTGCGGTAATGAAGGCGTACGCTACTGTCATGGTGCGATTCAGTATGATAGCCGGTGACAATCCATCAGGACCTGTATACAAACGTGGTTTGGAAAGAGAGTTTATATATGTGCTTAATCTTCAGTGTTGTTGTGAGTATCACTGTATGATATACATGAGAACTATATTGGGATGAACAGAAGGATGTATATGCACATGAAGTGCATTGCCTCAGACACATTCAGATTTATTGCGGTGACGAAGGCACGAGCAGGTATCAAGGAGCAAATAAGTAACACAGACGGATTGTGATGATAGTGTACTACAACTGAACAATAGGTGGATTCATGTGGCAAGCGAAACCCTAAGTATCTATGTAAT